CAAATGTGTTTCTTTAAGGTAGAATACCGAGCATTTTTCATTCTGCTTATCCTAACTGCTTACTCTTTGAACCTTATAGATTTTCTGGTAACAATTCTTTTCGTTATACAAAATGAATAGGACAACTGGATAAGAATAATTGCGCCAGCTGACATCCGGTGGTTAGTGAATAAGGTCTTCTCCCGAGAATTCGGTAGACATATTTTTTCAACTTTTAGTGAACATAAGTCTTGTAGTCCTAAAGGAATGACTTTCATAAGAAGAAACCTCCTGAATTTTCATCATTGCTTTCCAGATTAAACCATAATTTCAGATAAATCTATTACATTCTCAATATTGTTTTTATCAATGTGAATTAATTCAATATAGACACATATATCCTCAAACAGATCATTGAATCGCTTATTAGGACTCGTCAATATATAATATTTTTCACAATAAAAACTGTTCGATTTGCTTTATTTGTTTTACTGAGATGAGAATCATTCTTAACTTTCAGTTTGGCTGTTATCTATGAAGCTTATCATAATTTCAGTAGTTAATGTATGTATAAATGAAAGAGCAAGATCACTTGTTTGACTTTGGTGGCCTGCTTGAATAACTGGGCTACCAGTTCCTACCATCTAAATATTTCAACAAGTTATCTCTTTTTTGCTTTAAAACATCTTTACGTCTAATAATTGCATAACCTATTCAAGCGTGTTTATGAGAAGTTTACCATCTATCGCCTTACAAGTTACAAAAATGTACAACCAGAGACATCTTTGTGGCTGGCAACGCATTGAAATGAATGAACATTATTCAGATGTCGATTCCTGAACTACTAACGTGTAACTTACGATGATTTAATATTCATCGTCAGGATCAATCAAGAAATAATAATAAATATTAAGCTAGGACGGTATTCACTTTTTGTTTCAGTTTCGCGTTAAGCTAACAAAAGAAACTAGATGGAACTTAATTCCAAGCATTAGAAAATTTCAATAAAGAATACAAATTAACCATGAACTATAGAAGAAAGAATATCAGCTCTTATGAGAAGAGATGGATGGTGCTAACAGAGGAATTTAGGAAGCCCATTTCATCCTATTTGAGACTCATTAATCGGAACCCAGAGTTGATGTTTACTCTGGATCTTGTATTCAGTATCATCCGCTTCAAACCACTACGTTATCAACTTAGTTACTGAATTCAGATATCCACCAGCTTGTGCAATCAGGTGAAGTTTAATACATCTTTTACTGATTGTTTGGATCTTCACATTGATGTTTAGGACCTCATTGGTATAAGTGCATGCTGTGTGGATTCCACCATTATTATCATTAAGTCACAAGCATTATAAGCTTGTGATGAATCAACTGTTTCTTTAACCACTAACAAGATTTTCATTTTGTTTTGTCAAGTTACCTGCCTGTTAATTAAACTAATATCAAAATGAATTAGATGCTTGTAAGGCAGAAAAATAAATGATCATGTCTATTACTAGAAATCAGCAAAACTATAGAACTTTACTATTTACTTTTTCTTTAGTTAAAGCAGTTGATCAATTGATTTTGTGAATTATATACATACATTGAATTATTGATTAAATTTGGTTAAGCCCTTTTATTAATTTAACAGTGTCATTTGAACGCTAACAATTTGCATATTTCTTTATACCATTGTGATTACCAGATCACATGACAAACTATAACTAAAATGTTGATCACTTAAATATCACTCGATGATTCATCCTCCTCCCCATGTATGTATATGTACTCAAATCATATCATCAGGTTTTACTTTGCCTTGCTGTGCCCTTATGCAATTTGAACATATAATTGATGGTATCTACTTGTTCGCTTCTCCGCATCTAATTCGCTCGATGCGCTTATAGCTTTGTAATCTGAGCTATCCGCTAATAAACTGTAGTTGCCGCCTCTGATTGCCTTTTGGTTTTAAACACCGTTGAGATTTATATTATAACGGATATATATATATATATATATATAATACAAAATTACAGGTCTTAGTAAAATCTGGGAACCATACAGTAAATACTTCATTTGCAGAATGTCCATCAATTGTCTTAGACTTTATTGTTTCTTCACTTCCATACCAATCACTCTTTTCTCATTTTCGTCTCTTCGATCTTCTCAACCTTTTGCTGGCAGGCATTCCACTTTCGGTTTATGAGACATACCACTTACATCTGTTAACATCACTAGCACATACCACAGTATGAATTAATAAAAATCAATCTTCTTTAAACCCCAATTCTCGCTATGTTCATTTGTCCAAAACTTCAATAAACATGCTTAATCTACTGGTGTAGGTAACACTCTTCCAACGAGAGAAGGAACCATGCAATGTTAGAACGAGGAACTACGATTACGACTGTATTTGTTGTCTGTTGCATTATCTGCCAAATGTTTCACGTTGTATAGTCTTACTTACTTACGCCTGTTACTCCTCGTGAAGGAGCATAGGCCGCTCACAAGCATTCTCCATACAACCCTGTCCTGGGAAATCCTTTACAGCTCTTTCCAGTTCTTATTCATCCTTTTCATATCTGCTTCTATTTCCCGACCTAATGTGTTCTTTGGCCTGCGCCTTTTCCGCTTCCCTTCAGGATTCCAAGTTAGCGCTTGTCTCGTAATGCACTTTGATGATTTCCTCAATGTATGTCCTATCCATTTCGATCGTCTTTTCCTAATTTCCTCTTCAGCTGGAAGCTGGTTGGTTCTCTCCCACAAAAGGCTGTTGCTGATGGTATCTGGCAAATGGATGTTGAGTATCATGCGTAGACAGCTATTGATAAATACCTGTACCTTCTTGATGGTGGTTGTTGTAGTTCTCCAAGTTTCAGCTCCGTACAGTAGAACTGCCTTGACGTTCGTATTGAAGATTCTGACTTTCATATTGGTTGAAAGTTGTTTTGAGTTCCATATGTTCTTCAGTTGAAGGAATGCCGCTCTAGCTTTGCCAATCCTTGCCTTGACGTCTGCATCTGAACCTCCTTGTTTATCGACGATGCTTCCCAGGTATGTGAAGGATTCCACGTCTTCCAGAGTTTCGCCATCAAGAGTGATTGGATTGCTGTTCTCCGTGTTGTGTTTGAGGATCTTGGTTTTCTCTTTGTGTATGTTGAGGCCTACTGATGGAGAGACTGCTGCTACTCTGGCTGTCTTTATCTGCATTTGTTCGTGTGTATGTGATAGGAGGGCTAGGTCATCTGCGAAGTCCAAGTCGTCTAATTGGTTCTGAGCTGTCCATCGTATGCCGTGGTCTCCCTCAGATTTCGAGGTCTTCATAATCCAGTCGACCACCAGGAGAAACAGGAAGGGAGAGAGTAGATAGCCTTGTCTTACTCCGGTCCTTACTTGGAATGCGTCAGTCAGCTGTCCTCCATGCACTACTTTGCACTGTAGTCCGTCGTATGAGTTCCGGATAATGTTGACAATCTTCTCAGGAACTCCGTAGTGTCGAAGAAGTTTCCATAACGTCCTCCTATCTACACTGTCAAATGCCTTCTCATAATCAATGAAGTTGATGTAGAGTGACGAGTTCCACTCAATTGATTGTTCGACGATGATCCGTAGTGTCGCAATCTGGTCTGTGCACGACCGGTCCTTACGGAATCCAGCTTGTTGATCTCGAAGTTGAGCGTCAACTGCGTCTTTCATCCTGTTCAGTAACACTCTGTTGAAGACTTTACCCTCTGTAGTTTTCACACTTGCTCAGATCTCCTTTCTTTGGAATCTTGATGAGGTGTCCTTCTTTCCAATCAATCGGCACTTGTTCCTCCTCCCGAATCTTCTTGAATAGAAGATGAAGCATGCTTGTAGTTACTTCGATGTCTGACTTCAGTGCTTCAGCTGGTATATTGTCAGGTCCTGCTGATTTCCCGCTCTTCATTTGTCTGATGGCCATTCTGATTTCTTCGGTCGTTGGTGGATTGACATCTATAGGAAGATCTGTGTCTGCTGCTTCGATGTCCGGTGGATTCATTGGAGCCGGCCTGTTCAGGAGTTCCTCGAAGTACTCTGCCCATCTGTTCCGCTGTTGTTGAATCTCAGTGATTGGTCTTCCTTCTTTGTCTTTGACTGGTCTCTCTGGTCTACTGTATTTCCCTGCTAGCTTCTTCGTCGTATCGTAAAGCTGTCTCATATTTCCTTCTCTTGCAGCTTTTTCCGCCGTCGTTGCTAGTTCTTCCACGTATTTTTGCTTGTCAGCTCTAATGCTCTTCTTCACTTTCTTGTTTGCTTCTATGTACTCAGCTTGTGCTTGGACTTTCTCTGCTCATGTTCGACTGTTGTTAATTGCTGTCTTCTTGTTCTTTCTTTCTTTGATCCTGTCCAGTATTTCTATAGAGATCCATTCCTTGTGATGATGCTTCTTGGGGCCCAGAACCTCTTGACATGTTGAAGTTAATATTTCTTTGATGCCTTTCCAGCTATCCTCCATAGTAGTTTCTTCTTCCTTCAGTAGGTCCTGTAAGGCTTGGAACCTGTTGTTGTATAGTCAACATGTTGTAATTTAACGAAATAATTATTCTATAGATTTTTATAATCATCTGTTAAATATATTTAAAGTATTGTTGTGTCTTGTTATTGGCCTATGATGTTACGGATTTAGGGACGGACACGACCGAGCGGTGAGACTAATTTATGGACGACCTGAGAATGTCCACCTACTTGCCAGGGCTACACGTGAGTTATAAACCTGTGTGAAGAATAAGGATTATGACTTACAGTTGATGGTTAGGGTTAGGAATTAGATTGAAAGTTCTCATCACGAAGTGACATCAGCTAAAATCCCAAAATGGTTTTTAACCAATTGGTTGAATGAATTTCGCGCCAAAATCCAAGACCTGTTATCCTAAACCTGATTGGTTCGTCCATAAATTATAGTCTCGCAGATTGAGCTACTCTGATACGACCCGTTCTCTTCAGAACTGACAATAGTAAATTATACTTGACACACCAAACCCCAACGGCTAAGACAGGAAGAAGATGGAATTGCAGGCAACTTGATATTTGTGGTAGAGCAAGCAACTTAAATGAAACTGGTACAAGGGTTGTTACTATAGTAGCAAAACATGACAACCAATCAGAGGGCAAACGTCGTGCGGAAAATCAAAATGGCAGAAAGTATGCGAGCGGTTATCGTTCAAGACATCTTAGCCTTTCTAATAGAATTTAACTATTCTTGAGAACACCTTAGCAAGTATGTGGTTGAAAATGACTAGCCTAAAAAAGTGAAGTGGAAGATTCAGTAATAATGAAGTTTTTCATTAAAAAAGATTGTATACTGACTTTATGAGAAGAATTAAACTGTCTTCTGTCAAAAAATGTATTTGGAAACACCTAGATAAATAGACTCTAAAATTTAGTTGATCATTACAAAAGCACTTTGGTTAGTATATTAATATAATGGTTGTTCGCTACATACATTCGGATAGTAGTTTAATGAGACTATTCAGCTATTATATTGAATATCTGAGACACCAAAGTCTATGTATTTCTTAATCTACATGTTACATTCTACACTGATGAATTTATCAGAGTTTAATATGCGGCCACTTAGATAACATTGTTCAAACAAACTATCCGTATAGACAGACTTGTTTAATTTAAAAGTAATGGTCTTCAAACCTCAAGCAATCCTGACAACTTAGTACGGAAACTTCAATTAAACGAATCGTCGATTATGTACAGTATTACACAATAAAAAGGCTCTATAAACTACGATATCTCATGCAGAACAGATTAGTCTATAAAAATTCTACCACTCAAGTTTGGCGTATAAAGACGTATGTCTAAGTCCCAGTGAACTATAGAAAATTCAAATGTTAACATTTTAAGGAAAACAATATCAAACCCTAGTTAACAAAAGAAAACTCTTCAATATTGGTCATAATGTATCAAGGATCGAGGTTGAGAAAGACAAAAGCTATAATGACGACAACAACAATAACAATATAACAAATGTATTTTACCAGAGATAAATAATTTTCCATGGGAAAACAAGATGAATGGAACCAAATTGAAATAATAATAATAGCAATAAATTGGAACAAACAATTTGTCTATTAACTACTGAATTCATACAAATTTTTTTACATCCTCCTTATTTCAATGGATTGTATTGCATTAGCTTTCATCATGAAGTAGATCAATAACTATCATAGAAAAAGACAGTAACATCACAAATTGACATCGTGTTAGAAATGATTTGAAATAGACCAACAAAAACTAATATTGCTTTGAATAATAGGCACAAATCCAAACATATGTATACATTAGAATGCAATAAAACTGAACACTATTAATAAGTAATGGTTGCTAACATATACTTCTTCAAATGTACAGAATTAATTTAACTAGAATGAGATAAATAAATTGAGAATATAGAATATACTAATGTATTTATTGAAATGTGTTCACGTGAGAAATTAGCCAGAATACACGAAAACACAAAAAAAAAACACCAAGAAGGATAAAAAATAAATCTGAGCACGGTAAATAAAAGTAAACATAACTGAATTATCTTCTGTTAATCATACAAACCATTCTCCTATAATTCAAGCCGATCATCATTACGATCGTCAATGACTGACTGCTTAGACAGATAATAATAATAATAACGGTATTTTACTCATAACAAAATCTGAATAAAAGAATAAACACGAAAGGTAAGTCACAATAGATATTTGTGTCTGTGGTGTATGTGCTTTGGAATACACATCCATAAACAACAGCTATTATTATTATTATTATTATTATTATTATTATTATCATAAGAGTGGGATGATAAAACAGATCATGAAACGACTGACGAAACAGGAGATACAAGTCTATGATATTCTGGTGGGGAATGACCGAGTACAGCACCTTCAGTAAGAACTACAGTTGATATATCCGATCCTGGAACATCGTAACGTGGCTGCAAGAGTAGATTTTCCTATAGAATAAGACCAAACAAAAACGAAAAGTCGAGTCAAATTCACTTGTTAACATCAGTATATAAATTAACAAAGAAAGTATTTAGTCAGATATCCTCGCCTATGTTCATCATAACTTTTGTTCATAAGTCTTATTTTTACTTACTTGTTCTTTCTCTTCTCCTTTCCCTTTCCAATTTCATTCATATCTATAAAAATGGTTCTAATTTAGTATACTTTATTATTTATATTATTACAAAGGTTATGTAAACTAGATAAATTGTAGCTAGCAACAATGAGATCTAGATATTTCATTTTACTTGAGACTCGTAAGCTGAATGTACCTGGATCTTAATATTGATATCCGCATTGGAGGAATATAGTATCAGTGCATCTTGAATTTCAAAAACCCAACATGTTTATCCATGAACAATTGAGTTCTCTGAAGAAGTGGCTTACACTAAGTCACAAAACGTCAGATCTAATTTTTCTATTCACTGGGATGTTACAAATATATTATTTTTATTAATAACAAATCTACCCAACGCTCAATTTATTCAAAATTATCAAATCGAATCTTGGTAATGATACCTACAAACTAATATTGATCAAAAATTCAGTTGAGAATATCAACTAAAAAGATAATTCAAATGTTAACAACAAATTGGATTATTACAAAAGTTGTTTTTATCCCTTATCTTCATAATTACCATTTACTTCATGTATCAATTTTATATTTCAACTACAATTATATTTACAATTTATACATTTTACTCTATTGATTCGATATTTCTTGCGTTCCATAAATAAGTACATTGATATCAATAACGTATGAAGGAACAATACAAATCAATTCAGTCAACAATACTTGATAACAACGAATTATATTTAAAATAGTTATTATAATATTAATATTATTATAAAATACTAAATTACTATAGCTTCAATGAGAATTAAATTAATTTGAATTAGGTCTAATTAATTCTTGTATGAAATGTAAAAAATTACAAAGATTTAATAAAACGCCGATATCTGCACTGGAACTAATCAAATTAACAATAATGTGTATAATTTAACGATGAAAACCATATGAAAGGATCAATACGATTAGAGTGTGAATTATCAGGCAGATTAATTGATCTTGAACTAAAGTGAATTACAAGCAAACAACACTTTGAAAACATAAAATTAAACTATCAAATGTCCTATAACTGGTTTTAACTGTATAAAGAAGCTCAAGTTTCAGTTGGTAAGACAATTTAATTCGATAGCTAACAGCTTAGATTTATTTACTACGAAATTACTAGCAGTAACATCAATGCAGATATTTCATATAATGTGTAAAGAAGCAACGACAATCACATTATACTAATTTTTTTTCAAGTATCGTTAAAAATTGTTTTCCTTGTAGGTATTTTGTTTACTGCTTAAAAAATAATGTTAACCGGTCGGCCATTATCTCCATTATATATATAGTGACTTGAATTGAAGAATCAATGTTGTTAATAAGGAGTCAGATGTTGGAAAAGATGGAAATTTCGAAACAATTTTCTGGATTGTTATTTAGACTTCTATTAGGTAATTAGTAGATAACCGCTTTTTTAGCATTTCTATAATACCCTTATTGTAGGCTCGCAGTGAACCTACTAACTGTCGTTATGCGTCGTACGATTCTTCACTTATTGCTAATTATGTACTGTCTCCTTTGTTCTCCGCTACTTACGGGATGATTGTGCTTACAGTATGATTTCCTATTTGGCGTGTTGTGTTCAGCAATTTCAAATATATTATTGTATGCGTTTTGAGTTACAATTAAATTAAGTATATAATAGAAGTTGGCTACTGACTTGTCTTAGGACTCAAGACAAAGAATAGGGAAAGATTTGAGTAAAGAGGACCGATAGAAATTTATGTTGCGTCAGATCACGGTTGACGATGCAGGTAGGTCAGAAGTGAAATTGGTCAAGTCTAAGACACTAAGCTATGGAAGAAATAGTAGATATGGTACAGAAAAAATTATGATCGGAATTCTAATTAGTAACTTTAATACATGATACCAATCAGAGATTTCAAGTCATAACTAAAACAACGAAATCATATTATTTTTTCTTTGTTTTCCATAAACACCGTACATTTTTAAAAATAATGTAATATAATCATTGGAGTGATAAAGTTCCATCAAAAGGTATGGTAAATTGATAACATAGAATAAGTTCATTCATTTGGTTTAGAAACAATTTCATAGTAATGAATAGATGACTCAACAGACTCAAAGTAAATGAATATTTTGATTTTACTCAATAAGGAAAAGGCAACTACTTATTTATCAAAAACTTATTTATGTACTCAGATTTCTGGGGACACTTTATATGTGAGAACCAATGACATTTGTCGGCTTCTGATGCTGACGCAATGTGATGTGGGTTTCGAACATGTGGCCTAGTGATTGAGAGATGAACAGTTTCACCACTATACACCACCGTTTAGTAATCAAATCCAGGTCAGTGTACTGTTCTAGGTATAATGAAGATATATAGTTATTAAGATGGACATATAAGTAGCAAAGTTTGAGTTGCTAATAAATCAATCATTAAAACTTAAACTGGACCATTTTTGAGTCACAGTTCCGTACAATTTATTACATGAAACCTCATATCCCAACTATTAACATCATCACAAGAATTTTAACTCGTTATATATAATAAATAACAATAATTTATGTGGAAGTTATTCTGGTAGCCAAATGGATTCAGTAAATTTCTACTAGGATCTGATAAGATAGAATATCGGAAATAAAATAAAATGGAATACAAAAATTGAATAAAAGTTTGATTTCAATGGTTCTATTTAGATTTAAAATTCAGTAATAATTCCTCATTGAGTTTTATCCATGTTTAGTCGATATGGTGATTAAATCCACTAAATTATTATTTCTTGTTTCATATCCCTACAAACAATCAAACAAGCAAAATGACATTCTCTATAAACCCATTCTGAGTTTATTTATTATCGACTAGGTCATATGAAGGACAATTGGATAGATAGACATATAAATGCATACACACAGACACATTCAAACAAATTTCGCTTAGAACTAGCAGGAATACAATATTCAAGGTCAAATCATTGTAAAAAATATGATTGTTAAAAGGACGCTGTGACCTTAAACTGACCAACTCAGAAATAAAAGCTGATAGGAATCATACCAACATAATTTAACCAACTTAAACAATGCAAATATATTTGGGATGCTATTCTCTCCCTCCAAAAGCAAAATAATGCTTCAAGATTGACTTGTATCAGCGCCTGAATTAATGATAGGGAGTCAAGTAGTTGGACGCTTCATTATTGGTCCTGATGATCTGGTGTCTAACGAAATCTTGGTACGATTTCAGAGGGCTGGATTGGCTTTTGTCAACTTGTCACTTGTTGTTTAGGCGAGATATCCATCTCCCAAACAAAGGACGAGTTTACGGCGCAGCAGTTCGTCCTGTTCTACTTTTTAAGTGTGAAGTATGGCCACTAAGGATAGACGATATATGTGGGTTATAGGTATTCGACTATAGGTGTCTTCGAAGCATTGCTCGCGTATTTTGGGATCAAAGTAAGCCATGCCTAGGTTAGAAATAGAGTACTATGTAAAGATGGGAGATCAACTGGTGAAACAGTAAATCTTCATCAACTGAAATGATTTGGACATACGTTACGCATGTCCAACCACTGCCTACCTCGACCAGGGATGTTGTTTGATGTAGGAGTGGGTTAGAAGAAAGCTACGGGCAGCCTAACCAAACCGAAATGTCACCAATCCACGAATTCACTGACAGTTGATCTGAACCACGTTTTCTCCATGATTATCGTAACCGGTGGTTAGAGACTTTGAATGACATGGCTGAAAACCGTTTGCAATGGCAAATGTACATCCATTCTTTGTCTTCCTTCAAATTCTTAGTTTCTGAATTCTCTATAACATTTTCTTATGAATTTATATTTTCTTGAATCATATTTCCGACCCCTTATCTTTACTATTATTATCACAAATACTGTTACTACTTTGACAACTCTGGGATTTGGTCTAACAATTTCATCGCACTGTATTAATGGGGTATGGCAACTTAAACCGATATACATGCATACCAGGTTCTACGTTGCGACTGACTGAATTGGAAACATTCGTACAATTTCACTTTACCTACAAATAACTGACTTGATCGTTTTACGTGAGAGAATGGCAATGAAGTTCATACAAATTAACAGCACAAAAAAAAACAATTTTTCAATTGTAACACTTGAAATTAATAACTAACAATTATAACTGATTCACAGCTACCATCATAGTCTAAAATAGCAACTAATAACTTTTTGGATTGACATAACTAATTGTGACCTATCTAATAATTTCTCAAATTTTTAATAAACCAAAACAGTGTAGTGAAATGAAGTTGTTCATCAAATAGTAAGTTCAGTACATATCTTGAAAACCTTTAACAAATAAATCACTTTAACATCCTTGATATAACTCCGCCTATAGCTCTTCTAGGGTTACCGCCGGTCCCATGCCCGGGTAAAGGAGAGTTGGACATGGGGTCAGCAGCCCCATCCCGTAGAAAACAATCTACCTAAAAATCACTAACTAGAATAATCAATCGATCCTTGGACTGATATATTTCAGTAAAAATAATATTTGTTGATATTAAATTATTGAAGAGAAATGATTTGTTCTTATTTAATGACATCAATGTCCAAAAATCAAAGCGATAAGAAAAAACACAACAGTACATAGATTTACATTAAATTCACAGCCGTTACAAATTTCTAGATATGCTATATTGATGGTTTTATATGTGAAGTTGTTCTATGCTCACACACAACAACAAAACACAATAAAACAAAATGCAGATTTTAATCGATGCATTGATTATAGAAAATTTGTTCACCTTTTGTAATATTATTATTTAATTTCGCATAAACAATCGATTTTACAAAGGGAGTTTGTTTTCTAATTTAGTTGCTAAACTGTACGGCTAAAATATGTCAAGGCCGTTTTCTAAACTCATCCCCACATTTACTATAATTCTCAAGTGAAGTTCTACCTAGATATATATAATAAATGTTTAAATTTATTGCCGATAAATTTTGAATGGATTAAAACAATACCAATTTTTATGTTGTATAAAGCATAAACACTTCCACTTATTCAAAACTTATTATTTGATTATAAGTCAGATGACGTTGTCCAAAACTGGATCCTTATTTCTACAAACAACTATGAAAACATAAAGTTCCTTGATTAAAATAAAATCATCAATAATTTACTAGATAGAGAAAAAAACATCACCTGATTGGTGAATTAAAAAACTGAGAGATAACATATTAGTACATATTAATAGTACACATTTTCAGATTGAGGGAATGTACTATGCAAAAACAAATCACTTTCTTATTAATTTGGAAAATAGGATAAAAGTTTAGTACGAAATTATTATTTTAAAGAAAGTGAAAAAATTCATGCATAAAGTCTACTGTTAAGAAACACTTAGAAGAGTATGGATAGGGGATATTGGAGAATTATACTATTAAAAGCCTTGGACAGAATGTGGTAACTTTAGACAATCTATATGATCACACCAAAAACTGAGTCCCAAATGCAAAGAGAACTGTAAGAATATAAGCATAAATTGTCTGGTTTGGAACCATAGGAACGCTATTCATATGATTAAACTAAATTCATTAACTCAATCAGTATCACTATCTTGAAACGTCGACTTTGATGGCTTAGACATGTCCTACAAATGTCCCAGTGAGCCCTACGTTGTGCATAATTTGCCGATGATGTAACTGGTTGAAAAAAGCGGAGAGATGGTCAGTGCACGATACGGTGTCGTGGTATGAAGGAAAGCCGTACAGGACTGGCTTCTGTTCGTCCTTCATTACTACCTGGTTAGGGTCCTAGAGACAGTGTAACACAGTAACTTGAGACGAGATTTGAAATGGCTCATAATAAAAGATAGTGGCGAACCAACTGTAATTTTCTCCATAAAAGTGAACGTAAATTTTTTAACTGAAAGAATCTTTTCTGGTTGTATTTTTCCTAACTGAAATACTTCCATTATTATTATTATTATTATTATTATTATTATTATTATTATTATTATTATTATTTTATCACTATTCACTCACATTAATTTCTATTCATCTTTGTCCTATTTTGATTCTACTCACCTTCCTTTCTCCATCACTTCACAACCTCCTTTTATTGTGTGGCACATATATATTTGATGTCCCTTGTACCAATTTTTATTTGTTCAAATAAATAAAATTAGTTTATTATTGTTTAGCTTTATTCAAATGCTTGAATTTATGAAATTATAAAAGTACTTTCATTTGTTTAAGGGACAATGAAGTAGATGGATTTATACAAAGTGTAATGGTCCAGAGATCAATCAGTCTCGTGGCAAGTGATTCTACAGTAATGTCGGGGATGCAAGATCCTCAGAAATCACTTGGTTAACGTCTCATCTTTGTAATTGTATTCTAGAAACTTGGATTTTTTTAGTTTTCGCGCCAAAAGAGCCTATTTTTATCTTCCGATTGCATTTCCTATTTGGTTCGTTGCCTTTTGTGACATTGCCCTAGGAGCTTTTTTATGCTGTAAATATATATATGCTTGAGTTATGTGCATGGTATGTTCGTGGTCTTGGCTGCTTGTGGAATATATCTTTACCACTGGTGAACCTGGTCTTCTCCCTCTAGTTATCAGGGGTGAGACAAATTGTAATAGTTTAGCTTGTCTTGTCGTTGTATTGCTGATCTTTCGTTCCGTTCGCTGATTTTAGGCGATCTCGTGATCTCTTTAAACATAGTAGAGTGGCAACGGGGGTGGGATTCCACAAGCAAACCAAACACATAACTCATTATTTTATTTTACTTAATATAACACCAAAATACATGTAAATGTACTCGGTTTTAAGTAACATTGTATGAGACCTAATTAAATCGAATAGTGCAGGGTTAGAATCTCAGACCTATTGGTTAGAAGTGTAATTGCTCCAAACATCCATACCAATGCTCCATGGACTGGGTGAAACATAAGAAAAGAGGGCATAGTTTAGCTGTTTAGTTCTATATGATGCTTAAGCATATGTCTAATTGTATTAAAAAAAACATAATTTGGAGGGAAGAGTATGAGAGGTGAGGTCACAATATGCACTTTAAAAACAAAAGTTCAATGAACATGTCAAATCAATTCAACATGTTTCTGTTTTTGCTTGTATTTTTCAACAAACATCGTACAGCTAGGAAGAACACACTAAAGTATTTTGATTTCTTAGAAGATATAAGCCCACCTCTGTCGTATCCAAAGAAGATTAAATGATGGGTAACTTCTAGGAACTATTTATGGACTGTTATTATATGTACATACTTTTGTTGTATAACTATTAAGTAGCTAGATTACACATATTTATATTTCTCTTATTATAAGCTTTCATTTGACCTACTGGCTACTATCATACGATTCACTACTCTCAAATAATTTCCAATCTATTAGTTTCAGTCTCTCACACTCACAGACACTTTTGCTCTATCTTATCTAATTATTATTTTACGTTTTATGGTGTGATGTGGTCTAGTCTGCTTGCATATAAACCAAGTATGTCTGAAGTATACGATTCATATAGCGGAGGCTGACATTTGTGTTCTAAACTGAACCAGGAACGGTTAGGCGAGAATCTACTATGCAGAGGACCCAGGGTTGACTTAAGACTGGTTGTGATGGTTAACGCATCATCGGTTTGGCACACGGACAAGATCATATAAGTCGTTGTTTTGATTGGCAATCTTGTCACGTAATATTTGACGGGCAATAGGACATAACAAATTTGATTTAAAAAACCAATTCTTCAACAATTATCATTATCGAAAATCGTGGAAAAAAGCATAAAACACGACGAATACGAATGGTATACAGAAACTAAATGTAAGTAGACGATCACCAAACAAGAAATAAAAATAATTAAAAAAAAACATAAGAAACATGTAATTACCAAGACTGAACGAAGACCTCGAGCTCCTGTATGTTGACTTAATGCCAATCGAGCAATAGCTTTTAAAGCGTCAGGAGTGACTCTTAGTTCACACTAAGAATGAGAACAAAAAAATACAAATAGAAAGGCAGAGAAGATCAAAATAGAGAAACAAAATAGGTTAGAAAATGATACCAACTAACTAAAATCGCGTACAAGATATTTAAATAAGTAAGTTATCTGAGGAGCCAATATTATTCTTCAGACATGATCGTAGTCTCTGGTCTCACAAATCATTTACTGTCTCTTTTAACTTCTCCTCTTAGACCGACTTAGCCCTATTTCAATGGCGTTGATGATACCTCAATTTTAAATTTATCCTACTATAAATCCCTACTCAGTCCGTAGCCAGGACTGAAGGTCCTGTGTTCGATTCCAAGTAGGAGGGTTGTGGATACGAATTGCCAGGGAGTCCCATACTAAGACGAAATGGCCATTCACTGCTTTCAGGTTTTCAGTGGTTGTCTTTGATAGGTTCATGATTTCAATGAAATTCAGCAATCTCTACAACCCCGTACTAAAAATCATCATGTTGACTAACTTACTTTTACAGTTATTAAACATTATCTATTTTCTGTGTCGCTTACGATCAATTTCTCCGGCTCTATAACAACTCTGTTTCAAAACTCCTGATCAGAATATACTGTCTAACTGAAGTTATTGAGACACATGAATTATGCTTACACCCGACATCTGTTCACTTCGAAGCATGATGATAGTTGACGTAAGAATGTTACTAATTGATATTACTGCTACTTCAACTAGTAGTTTTACAGTCATATTACGACCCATCCCAATTTACTACCGAATGTATTTTTACATTTAAAATTTTATTTTTTTTATGTTTATGACATAAAATGCAGTGTACATTTGAGCGTATAAATAACTCTACTCAACGAATCTATATTGTTTTCTCGAACTAAATCTATGTCTAATCAGTACTACTACTATTAATACTGCTGCTACTTGTAGTAATCTGACATTTCGCTATGCTGATGTGCTGTGGAAACTTAAACCGTTGTCCCAGATTCTGTGTCCGTATAATTGATCAACATCACTTAGTTAGATCCCACAAACACGCACATACATGTAAATAAGTGCATTATTGTTTCAAGTCAGAATATTTTAAGCATAATCAATAAAGTGAGAGGAATTAATTGGTCATACAGTAATTATAAAACTAACACTTACACCATCAATATTAAAAAGTAATTGATATTGTTTTATCAGTGCATTACGTGGTTCTGTAAGAACACGAACAAGCATTTCTTCATTTAATGAATGTAGAGCAGTAATTATAGGGAAACGACCAACAAATTCCGGTATCATTCCATAAGTAATAAGATCATTAGCTTCAACTTCTTGCAATAATTTATCACGTTCAGCATTTTCTTCATGAGCTGAACTTTCAAAATTTTGAAATAAATTTACAAAATCTGTCGCATTTTGATTGACTGATGAAGTGCAATTATCTTGTGTAGTCGATTCATTCAAAGATGTCAACATATCAAATCCAATAGTCTAAGATTTGAATTAAAACAAAGAACGCAGTTGAATGTGAATTCAAACTACAAAACACTGAAAACTTATCAACTTGGGTGTAAAAAAGTTACAGGGATACTACTACTAATCAGTAATATAAAGAAATAACTTCTAGATCACTTTAACTAACATCACCACTAACTGATGGATAGTCCAATTTATTCGACAACGAATGGAGTATTATACCGAAATATTTTTCCGGGTATGAAGTTATAGTAGCAGGTAATCAATAGGAAACTAGGTTTGGTGTCGTTTTGCACTCGTCTAAGATGATCTTGGGGGGACCGATGACCCTTGGAGGATTCGACCTCGTGTCATCCAGCTTCACAGAGATGTTACCAATGAGCTATCCGGGTAGACCTCCTGCAGGTGTGAGATGTACTTATAATTGATTGATCACTGAGTAGAAACCAATGTCATAGATTTTAAGTCCTTCGAATTCTATTGATCAAGCTGTGTATATGTCATATTGGTCACTACTCAATGATCAGTTAACTATAAAATACATCTCAAACCTGCAGGAGGTCTACCTGAATAGCTTAGCGACAATGTTTTTGACTGTGAATCTGGATGACACGGGATCGACCCCCCCCCTCGAGGAATGTCAGTTCCCCGAAGATCACCTCGGTAATGAGTGCAAAACGGCACCGAACCTAATTTCCTATAGACTACCTCCAACCATCACCTTACATCTCAACATACTGGACGTGAAGTCGAGTCACTTAAATCAGTGTTTGTCATCAACTGATGACAACAGTTGATCATTATTTTCAAGATATGAACAGTGCCCCCAAATGCGGGAGTAGGGAGGGTCCGCTCTCCCTCTCGAAATGCTCTCACATAACCATACGTATATAGCCTCTGCCAGGGAAGTCTTACTCAAATGAGATTTGTGTGGCGCATATGTATTTGGTGCCTCCTTGTGCCAATATCTATGTGTTCAAATAAAATAAAATAAAATAAATATGAATAGTAAATAGCGGAATGATAAATTAATAGTACACTATGGTTAGCTACGTACGAAAACGTTCTAGTAAAATGAATACATACAACTCGACAGCCATCTCACTGGTTAATGTAAGCTTGGAATTAGTTCACTTGAACCTGTTAAACTGAATTCACCAACAAAACTAAGTGCTCACATTCTAAATGCATTCATGGACATTGTCGGACTCTATTAGCAAAGAAGAGAACAAATCCCAATTTAGATTTTTCCCATGGGAAAGTTGGATTTTTTTTCTTCAATTAGAACACTACGATACACCTCGAGAGCATAGTTGAAACGCATAAATGTAAAACATGAAGAGAAATGATATATAGATATCGAGTCCTGGAGTCAACATCACATCTGGGGTGCAAGGGCGCCCAGTGAGAGTCGCAATAAAACTAAATGTCCTCCTGGTTTCTACTGTTAGCCATCATTCGTCTCTGCTTAAAATGAGTGTGACTTAATAAGGATATCAGGGCAATCCGCACACGATGTGCACATGCCAAGAGAATGGTCAATTTCAGTTCTCAAACAACTGGGAAAATTCGAACAACAAATACAGATGAATAAAACTTAGTGTTTACCTAGATCTACGGATATATTAGGAGCAACACAAATTAAGTATGTCAGATGACCTGAAATAAAAACGTAAGATAAAGTAAGGAAACAATGATGTGTTTAATGTTTGAAATTTCTTTAGAACAACAAAAAAACAGAAACCAATCAAACCTTTTTATGTTTTCGTCGACTAATTATCTTGTCAAGTCCATTGAATGCACCACAGGCTATAAAAAGTATGTTGGTTGTATCCACTAGAAAAGTTTCACCACGTAATTTACGCGGACTTTTGACATCAGGTACGTTAACAACTGAACCTTCTAACAGTTTTAACATAGCCTATAAATATGATTTTTGTAGAGGAAATAAAAAATAAATAATTAGACAGTGGATAAAAAATATGAAACAAGCATTTATTTCACATAAATATTGTGTTTACAACGAAAGTAGCGGCAGTAGTAAGAACCAACTAAAATACCTTTTTATTCGAGCAATAAATTAACTACAGTAAAATTTTATAACTATTACTATCATTATAACTTAAAAACAATGGTACAAAAGCGGACCAAGATATATATGCACCATACAAAATGTGTAGACAGCATCTGTAGACTCTCCCTACCCTCGGCTCCTGCACCAAAGCATTTTGCGGCAGTAAAACTTTTATATCATAAACATTACTTAACAAGTAAAAAGTAATATAAAATATCACAACCAATTATATATATATATATATATATATATATATATATATATATATATATATATATCCCACCTGTTGAACACCTTCACCACTGACATCTCGTGCAGCATGATGATGTCCAGTTTTAGAGCTTATTTTGTCTATTTCATCTAGAACCACTATACCTTGTTGAGCAAGTTCCACATTGAAATTCGCATTTTGTAATAATCTACCAATGGTTGATTCAACATCTTCACCAACATAACCAGCTTGGGTTATACTTGTACAATCATAAAGAGCAAAAGGTACGTTTAAATAGTTAGCCAAAGTTTGAGCCAACAGTGTTTTGCCTAAAAATAACAAAATCTAAAATCTTCAAGCGTTGTTGAGATTATAACATACTTATACATCATATGAAATGTTTCATAAGCCAAAAGGATGAGAGCACACTGATAAGAAAAATACGTGATCATATTAAGAGTTTGAAGAAAATAAATTAATCAAAGTGAATTCTGTAACCATGGTTCATTGCTTAGTTCCTAAAATATAGATTAAGAAAGGATAAACGAAGTGTTGTTATTTGACACATGAAGTAAGCATGGATATCAATCTTGACACATTAATTAATATATCTCACACGTCATCGGATTCATCACCAAAAGATAGGGCTGCGAATATTATAAGAAATTGTTGATATAAAAGGTATTGATTATTTGGTTGTATGGTGAATCAGTAAACTCCCACCAACAACCAGTTGAGATGTTATACGCGCCCCTTACCCTCGGACACAAGTACCAGGTACCCGATGTATCGAAGTTATGTCGTCCAAGGAGTGAAAACTAAGTTCTCCAACATAACTACATCATTTTCACAGAACCAACAAACCAAGAAAACCTCCAATTTTCCAAGCCTTTAAAAAGAACGGCCACATGGTGAAACAAGCAGGTGCAAGTATTTTTTAGGATCGAGATCCTTAATTTTGGCGAGTGAACAATTTTAAAAAGAAAAACAAGATTAAACTGTACTATAACTTACGAAATTTAAGTACATAAGTAACACTTCTGCCTCAAAAGTTGATGATTCATTTATATGATTAACTGACTCGAGTATATTTTCAGTTCAAAAAAGATAACAAATCATGTGCTCACTATTGACTAGCATCAAGATGTAACTCCTGGAGTCCTAGTGAGAGGTCGTGACCAATAGAGTTCAATTTGTATCGCGTGTGAGACAGTAAATGTCTAACTTTAATTAATTCACGATATTCCGCGGTCATCTCCCATTGACTGAGGTGGATAACTGTCTCACACACAACGTGGTTGAAATCCATCGGTCACGGCTTTTCATTGAAGCTTCAGAAATTATATCTTGAGCATATGACTCAAGTTAGGGATGTATACACCATTGTATCCCGGCGCAATAGTCTAGATATTAAGCGTTCATGCGCGAGATTGAAGGTCCTGAGTTCAATCCCCATGTGAAGTGTCTTGAATGCTTACTTCTGAGCTTCTAAATTTCCAATAATAGTCTACCTAAGACTAGTTCATGATTTGTACTGAGAAATTAATAAGTCAAGAGACCAGTAACAATTAGGATTGTTTTTAAAAAAATACCATAAAATGGCTGTACGACAAATACTCATAAAAGAAATGCAAACTAATTCACTTAAGAATGTAACCACCCACGTCTCATGTTCTGCTTTCTCTGTACCTTTCGAATACAAATTACAGCCCACTGTTTATTCAATACTTATCCCAGATACCTAGAAATGACTCTCACTGGAATATGGAACAATTTATGTGTCATCTAAGTGAACAATCATGATGTGTTGAGTCGTATACTGTTACCAGTATTTTTATATTGCAACAGACAACGAATGTTCAATAAGATTACGACTCACCATACCAATTAGTTTAATTTCCAAAACAATTGAACTGATGCTACAAATCGTACCTTACTTTACTTGAAGTATACTAATAAACAAGCGTTCTTAACGTGTATGAGTATTATGAATTGTAGATAAATGGATTCTATAGCAATACAACCCACTACTACAGGTTTCCAGGTCCCAACTCTCACCTGAGCAAATTATTCCATCAGTTATTAATGTTAACGGTTGATTATGTCACAAATAAATGACTAATATAATTATTACTAGAATGGGTTTTGTGGAGAATTGGTAATTTCAATAGTTGAAATCATGAATCAATTGAAGCTATACCACCATGGAAAACCTGGAAGCACTGGACGGCCGTTTCGTCCTAGTATGGGACTCCTCAGCAGTGCGCATCCACGATCCCGCCCCCCGCAGAATTCGAACCCAGGACCTATCAGTCTCGCGCCAGGCGAGGAGGAGTCCCATACTAGGACGAAACGGCCGTCCAGTGCTTCCAGGTTTTCCATGGTGGTCTAGCTTCAATTGATTCATGATTTCAACTATTGTAATATTATTATGTTTCTTTTTTAATTATTTAATTATTCACATACACATCTACAGTGTGTAAACGGTCAGAATATTTATAAATAATAAATTTACTTAATCGTACAAAGTTTTTTCTTTTGATTGAGTGATGAAGTACAGAGAAGTCAGTCAGCTACAACGTATGACCAGGCACATATGTACATCGGTTCAAGTTGCCATACCTCATTAACACAACAAGATGAACACCAAATTCATAGAAGTAGTTAATTCAGTGGTGGTAATATATAAAAGAAAGATTTCATATAAGGACATAGTACAGGAAGAAAGAATTAGTTCGTAAAAAGAAAGATATGAGGCAATTTTAATCTCAGTTTAAGGGAAAACAGAGAGTGTAAACACCTACGCCAGAGAAAAAGTAGAAAAAGGACAAAAACTATTTCACATAAAATAGACTTGGAATTACTTATTTTTTCAAAATCAATAACTTTGAAATCCACATTACCTGAACCTGTCGAGCCTAACAATATAATGTTGCTTTTTTCCAATTTTAATGGACGATCAACATCATCTTTAAGAATCCGTGAAGCACGACGTTTTTCTCGATCATCCTTCATATCAGATAAATTTTCTAAAGTAATTGGAAATGGAAATGAATTTGTTGAACTGTCTCCATGTGTAAATGGATTTTTCGATGAACTTAGTGAACTATTGCGTGACAAATTAAATAATTCTAAAAATAAGTAGAATGTGTGTATATTGAGTTCAAGAAGATAAACACAAAATGTAAAAATAATAATATCAGCATTTAATGAGTTCACTAAGTACAAATCAAAGTGATTGTATATGGTACGAATTAGTTATTTTATCAAAAATAAAATACAACAGCAAACAAGAATGGTCAGTTGTTCAGAAACCGAAATGAAATAAGTTGATGAGATTATTGCTAATTTTTACAGAAACTGGCAATTTTTTCCGAAACTTATGTGTTACTTTACACGCAAGCGTGATGAATCCTAACTTTTGGAAGAACTTTCATAACTCAGCCAACATGTGACTAGTAATTCATTTCTACTATCCTAACAACTACTCTTTCCATAAGAAACTGGCCTTCAGCACGTATACCTCTTACATTCATATCTTCACAAATCTACACTTATGCGTCTTATGTGCGTTTGATTGTCTGTACATTCATTATTCTATCCGATAGCTGTCTCCTTGTCGCACCATGATATAATCTATTTTGAGCCATATTAACGCTTATAATGAGTAATATTTTGAGTAGAAACCCCCGCCTTCTGTGTTTTTTATCCCTTCGTCTGTCCATTGAAATAAATAAATGGGGCACAAACATCCAAAACACTTATATCCGACTTTTGATACACGCGTTGCTGTTAACGGGATTTGTCAATAGAACATATACGACGTAAGTACGATCTATCTTTCGTCTACATCATTAACGATTCGATCATATTAAAATCATACTGCGTGCGCTAGAAATCTAATTACTTAAAACCAGCAATTAAACATACCGCATATTTTGGGTCAAACACTACTAATAATTAATTTACCAATGGAGAGAATGTAATAATAATAATAATAATAATAATTACTACCATTGTTATGTTATAATTAGTAGATTTGTTAGCATGATCTCTGTTAAGGGAGATGTGTTGACACCATTTATCTTGTTTAGTCGTCCTAACATTTCATTTTATAGCTCCAGCATCCCCATATTGTAGTTTTGTTCGTGGTTTGTATTGCATCTGGGTATACACCTTGTGGTTGTATTTCATAGTCAGTGAGAATGTCAAACGAAAGTACGCACGATGTTTACTCTGATTGGTGTTATCTGAAGAGTTGTGATTGACATCGTGCCAATATTGTTGTAGTAGTGAATAAACTTGCTGTAATTGTTGAATAAATGGATTCCTCTGTAATTGTTCTTTCAATAGTTCTGGTTTGAAATGTGAGGAGAGTTAAGCGAATTGTATTTTATTCTCAATTTGAACGTGAACAGTCCGACAGCGACAAACTCTTTGTCTCAGGAAATTAAAAGCCCTCAAATGCCCTGGTAAGGCCGAGGATGAGGGGAGTGTAATCTCCCTAGCGAAATGCTCTCACATGGCCATACGTATACAGCCTCTGCCGAGGAAGTCCTACTCACTGCCTTCTCGGGGCATTACTGTTGTTTACAAAACTGAATGGACGAAAAGCGAATATCCGGTGCATTTACCGGAGTGATGGACATGGAGACTCTACCTAAGGGAAATGAAGCCTAACGAGTTCACTTAAATTTGCGAACGAGAACGAGATCCGATGTCCAAGACCAGTAAGCTAACTATTGACGCCTCCCAGCCTCGCTATCTAGAGAGAAAGAAGACCAAGCTTAGAATGGAAGTATATTCTGCAACAACCAGAAAACCAGCGAATTTACAAAGAATTTAAAACGTATATATATATATATATATATATATATATATATATATATATATATATCGATATTGCCATGGAGCTTTTAAACATCTAATCGATAGTTCGTCAATTGACTATGTTCGTGGGTGGTAAGAAATGCCCACGTATACATCTGCATACAAGCTCCACAAGATAAAATTACAAACTATGAGTTTTTTGAGGGAAATGACACCATTTCTCATTCAGGAATGGCATTAGATAATTTCTGGAGTATTTTCTGAATATCCCAACACCTCCCTTTGGAAGAGTTAATAGTGATGTAACCGAGGGTTTACTTGAAATTTCTTTGGGTGTCTTCGTTTGCGACCCGACCTTCGAGGTAACCACCCAGAACCAGAAGAATGTTCTATTTGAGTAGATGACTTAGTTGTCTCTGTTGGAGGTATTGGCGGAAGTTGAAAAGTATCCAATAACAAGTCGAGTGGGATGCGTTTCGTAATTGCTTCTTTCTCCTTAGCTTCTCTTAGCCTTAGCTGATTGTGGTGTCTGGTCCAGATTTCTTGGTTCACTTTGACATCATACATGACGTCCCCATGTTTCTTTGTGATCTCACCCTCTACCCATCTATCGCACCCGTGTCCATAATCCCGCGCATACACTTTTGTACCAACTTTGTAGGGAATTCTAGTATTCTTCATCTGGGGGCTTTGCTGAGCCACTTGCTTAGGTGTCATCGCACCATGAACTGTCCGTAGCTCCCGCCCCATAAGCATCTCAGCGGGGGATTTGAAGTTTGGCAATAAGTTATGTGGGGTCGTCCGATACACCATTAGAAATCGTTGTATGATATCTTCAGTGGTCCCCTCCCCTCGTGCTTTAAGCATGGCTCGTTTAAATGTATCATCGAACCTGGGTGTCCAGAGTGGAATTGGCGTAGGACCTTGAAACGTAGGGTTGTTGGAATCACTACGCGATCACCGAACATCAGACAATCGTTAAAAACACAGAGGGCACTGCGACGATTCGCTAGTTGTTGCATAACTGGCCATCCGCTCTGAACATAGGTGATCGCTTCTTGAATAATCGGGTCTTCTCTGGTAGCTTCCCGAACATCTTCAGCGGTAACAGGCATTGCTCGAACGGCATTCGCTAATAGTGTAGCACCGGAATCCTCTTCCGTTGATATTGTGGCTATGAATGTGTCCTCATCAGTGGTAGAATGGTTACTGATAAGTCTGGACAGTGCATCTGCTTGGCCGAAATCTTCGGAACGTCGATACTGGATGTCGAAGTCGTACCCCAATAACGCCAACGCCCAACGTTGAAGACGATTGGCAGAATGGGCAGGAATGCCTTTCTTTGATCCAAAGATTGATAACAACGGCTTATGGTCTGTGAGCAAGGTGAAACGGCGCCCGTGAATGAATGTGTGGAATCGACGGACAGCAAATATTAGGGCTAACGCTTCCTTCTCGATCTGGCTGTAGCGTTTTTCAGCAGGTGTTAGTGTTCTTGAAGTGTGCATCACCGCTTTCTCTGAACCATCTGGAAAGACATGCGAGAGTACGGCACCCAGTCCATGTGTTGAAGCGTCAGCAGCAACCACAATGAGTAGTTTCGGATTGTAGTGCGTTAGCAGTAGTTTGGAACTTAGCATGGATTTAAGTTTCGAAAAGGCTAACTCACATTGCGTGGACCACTTCCAAGTAGCGTTCTTTTCTAGCAGACTATTCAATGGATATCCTACGTCATGCAGTGATGGAAGAAATGCTGAATAGTAGCTAATCATTTCCAAAAATGATCGCAGTGAGGTTTTTCAATTATGCACCCTTCCAAACTTGAACTGTTACTTAAGCAGCAGCTGAAATTGATGCAAATGTTGACTGAGACCAGGGTTACGTCTCCCTTGCAGCCAAGCACGTCTAGTTCAACCACGGCACCATCGGTAGATGGCATCGCAAACAGTATAGCTGAATTCCATTACGATCCTGATTCTAATGTTACTTTTGAGATGTGGTTCAGGCGTTACGAAGATCTATTTAAATTTGATTTCGCCAATCAAGATGATGCTTGGAAATTGCGACTGCTACTTCGTAAATTGGGCGCAACTGAGCTGGATAAGTATTGCAATCTAATCCTGCCTTTGAACCCACTTGACCGATCTTTTGCAGACAGTTCAAACATTAAGCCAACATTCTGGCGATAACTCGTCACTGTTTAATACTCGTTATCGATGCTTGAAGCTAACTATGAACGAAGATGATGATTTCCTTACGCATGTGGGCGTCATCAACCGTGAATGCGAACGCTTCCGGTTAAAGTCTTTGACTGAAGATCAGTTTAAAGCCCTGATCCTCATTTGCAGCCTATAGCACCAGAAGTTCAGTGACTTACGAACAAGGCTACTAAGTCGATTGGACCAAGACCCAAAACTAACCCTTAAAGATATTGCAAACGAATATCAACGCCTAATCAACCTGCAGCGTGACACCACTTTGGTTCAATCTGAGGGCCAGGGTGGTTCCGAAGTTCATGCTGTTCAGAACCAGGAAGTCTTCAAAATCGGAAACCTCGAGTCCTTCAAACGCTGTTCCCGTCCCCAACCACTCCAAACCAGCTCAGAAGAAGCCTTCCTCGCCATGTTGGCACTGTGGAGACTGGCATTATGTGAAGTTCTGCACATTCAAACAGCATATGTACGATCGCTGTCAGAGAGTGGGTCACAAAAGCGGCTTTTGCAAATCCAACCGGTTCAATAACCGTCGAAATGCCCAGACGCAGCGTCGTTTTCCAAAAAAGCCGATTACTTCATCAAGAAGTTTAGCAGCAATCTTCCACACCCACGCCGCGACGCGACGCAAATTTTTGACCCTTCCAATTAATGGTCAGCCAGTTCGGTCGCAGTTGGATACTGCATCAGATATAACTATTCTTTCGAAAAAGACTTGGCGAATCTTGGGCCAACCTCCCATTAAACCATCCTCTCAGACAGCCGTCAGTGCCTGTGAGGGTTATCTCCGCCTTCATGGTGAACTCTATTGTTGCATTTCATTCAGAGGTAAAACCTTTAATGGGACGTGCTACATCACCAATTCTCCGCTCAACCTTCTGGGCTTAGATTGGTTCGAAGAACTTGGTCTCGCTGATCTTCCCATTAGCGCTATCTGCAATCAAGTACAAACTACTGCCTCTACACAACAACATGCTGCAGACCTTCGAAAACGATTTATTGAACTCTTTTAGCCTGGTCTCAGACTTTGTTCCACAACGGAAGCTGTTTTAAGACTGCAGCCAGAAGCTACGCCAGTTTTTCACCCAAAACGTCCAGTTCCATACGCATCTCTACCTCTGGTTGACGCTGAACTTCAACGTTCGGAATCTGAGCGTGTTCTAGTACCTGCTGCTTATTCATCATGGGCTGCACCAATTGTGGTTATAAAAAAATCCAATTTCGAAACTTAAATCCATGCTAAGTTCCAAACTACTGCTAACGCACTACAATCCGAAACTACTCATTGTGGTTGCTGCTGACGCTTCAACACATGGACTGGGTGCCGTACTCTCGCATGTCTTTCCAGATGGTTCAGAGAAAGCGGTGATGCACACTTCAAGAACACTAACACCTGCTGAAAAACGCTACAGCCAGATCGAGAAGGAAGCGTTAGCCCTAATATTTGCTGTCCGTCGATTCCACACATTCATTCACGGGCGCCGTTTCACCTTGCTCACAGACCATAAGCCGTTGTTATCAATCTTTGGATCAAAGAAAGGCATTCCTGCCCATTCTGCCAATCGTCTTCAACGTTGGGCGTTGGCGTTATTGGGGTACGACTTCGACATCCAGTATCGACGTTCCGAAGATTTCGGCCAAGCAGATGCACTGTCCAGACTTATCAGTAACCATTCTACCACTGATGAGGACACATTCATAGCCACAATATCAACGGAAGAGGATTCCGGTGCTACACTATTAGCGAATGCCGTTCGAGCAATGCCTGTTACCGCTGAAGATGTTCGGGAAGCTACCAGAGAAGACCCGATTATTCAAGAAGCGATCACCTATGTTCAGAGCGGATGGCCAGTTATGCAACAACTAGCGAATCGTCGCAGTGCCCTCTGTGTTTTTAACGATTGTCTGATGTTCGGTGATCGCGTAGTGATTCCAACAACCCTACGTTTCAAGGTCCTACGCCAATTCCACTCTGGACACCCAGGTTCGATGATACATTTAAACGAGCCATGCTTAAAGCACGAGGGGAGGGGACCACTGAAGATATCATACAACGATTTCTAATGGTGTATCGGACGACCCCACATAACTTATTGCCAAACTTCAAATCCCCCGCTGAGATGCTTATGGGGCGGGAGCTACGGACAGTTCATGGTGCGATGACACCTAAGCAAGTGGCTCAGCAAAGCCCCCAGATGAAGAATACTAGAATTCCCTACAAAGTTGGTACAAAAGTGTATGCGCGGGATTATGGACACGGGTGCGATAGATGGGTAGAGGGTGAGATCACAAAGAAACATGGGGACGTCATGTATGATGTCAAAGTGAACCAAGAAATCTGGACCAGACACCACAATCAGCTAAGGCTAAGAGAAGCTAAGGAGAAAGAAGCAATTACGAAACGCATCCCACTCGACTTGTTATTGGATACTTTTCAACTTCCGCCAATACCTCCAACAGAGACAACTAAGTCATCTACTCAAATAGAACATTCTTCTGGTTCTGGGTGGTTACCTCGAAGGTCGGGTCGCAAACGAAGACACCCAAAGAAATTTCAAGTAAACCCTCGGTTACATCACTATTAACTCTTCCAAAGGGAGGTGTTGGGATATTCAGAAAATACTCCAGAAATTATCTAATGCCATTCCTGAATGAGAAATGGTGTCATTTCCCTCAAAAAACTCATAGTTTGTAATTTTATCTTGTGGAGCTTGTATGCAGATGTATACGTGGGCATTTCTTACCACCCACGCACATAGTCAATTGACGAACTATCGATTAGATGTTTAAAAGCTCCATGGCAATATCGATATATATATATATATATATATATATATATATATATATATATATACGTTTTAAATTCTTTGTAAATTCGCTGGTTTTCTGGTTGTTGCAGAATATACTTCCATTCTAAGCTTGGTCTTCTTTCTCTCTAGATAGCGAGGCTGGGAGGCGTCAATAGTTAGCTTACTGGTCTTGGACATCGGATCTCGTTCTCGTTCGCAAATTTAAGTGAACTCGTTAGGCTTCAACCATAACATTCTCATTCCAAACCAATGGTGTACATGGACTCCAGGATACTGAGGGAACAAATGGCATATGAACCAATCATTGGTCACCAGCCACCTTGGAACTGCATCTCTTGACATTGCTCCACTGATTTGTGGATCAGACCTTTAGGTCGAGGGCTCTGGTTGTGCCCTCTTATGAGAACCACCTGCTTCGGTCTGGGCACCCGGGAAGTATCACAGCTCACACACAAATCAAGGGACTTGTGTCGCCCATATATATTCGGTGCCTCTTTGTACCAGTATATATGTTCAAATAAATAAACAATTTAAAAACGAAGTTGTAAGTGTTTATGATCACTTTAAATTAGATACAAAGAACATGGACAACTTTCACAAACGCAATTCAAATATTCGTACCTGATACAGAGGGTTGACTTAAACTGCTCTGATAATTTACAGGTGTACAAGAACGTGTACCCGAAAATTCATTTGGGGAATAATGATTATTTACAGTGGATTTGGCTTCATTTGTCCCTGAGTTTAAATTATTTGAATTAAATCCATTATCTTCCGAGGTAGCCAGTGACCGATTATACTGTATACGATTGTAATGAGCATATACTTGGACAGCAAGAATTTTTTTGGCTTTATCTTGACCTACTACATAGCGATCTAGGTATTGATGTATCTAATATAAATCGGAGTAGAGAACATTTCTAATGACAATAAACAGATATATGGAACAAATACATTAAATGAATTATTTGAAGTGGTAATAATGGTGAAAGAATCTATTTCATCCACTAGTCTGTCTTCACTTCACTACTAGAAAACTTATATTCGTTTTTCCCCTACAATTGAGACTGAGTTGAGAAAAAAGAAGTTATACAGCACCTACAACTCACCAACAGAGCTTACTTTAGGTCAATTGTATTTGTCACTAATAAGGCACAATAGATCCAAGACCTAATAGTTAGGAACAATTTACAGACGTCAAATATTCCATATTAGATCACCTTATCAAGGAAAATTAATGATAGACAATATCATTTTTAAGTAAACCAAGATTCAAACACGTAATGATCAAAATAATGTATAACTTCGTGAATATCAGTCAGTCAGTCAGTACTTCATGAATATGATCAACAAGGATGAATTGCCTTCTATCAAAGCATAATGTTTTCCATCTCAACCATTTTTCAACCTTCAGTAAACAGACCAAAAATATAGGACAAGGTTTTAAAGTTAATTGGACAGTAGCTAGCATTGTATGATGAAATTGTTAATGTGCATAATCTATATTGAATAGGACAACGAAATTCACTAGATGAAAGTCCATTCCACTAAGATATGTAACATTAGCTGATGCCAAATTGATCACAATGTCACAGAAAATATATTTATTATTGACGAACCATAGTCCTACAAAAGATTTACTTCGAAAAAATCAGGTGATTGGTGGTTAATCAATATTTCTTTGGTTAATATCCATTTATAAGGAGAAAAAATAATACGAATAAGCTAACTAACAGAAAAAATAAACGGACGAACAAAACCACTAAAGGTTTACAACTGTTGATTTTTAACATCTTAGTAGCTCTAATTAACCTAGAAAACACACTGCTCAATATAGGTCTATACTAATTTGCATTGTATATTTCGGTAAACCGTGACTGGGTGAAGTCACCTGTTGTTAAGGATCTCCAACTTCATAGACTAACTTACTCTTTTCCTCTCAAACTTTATAACATCTAAAGAAAATGTAATGCATACTATAATTTCCACTAAAAGTGAATAACCCTTTGAAGGCCTGTGAAATATTATATACTAAGCTATTGCTGTCTCAAATCAAGTAAGACAAAATTGAGTTTTATTGAAAATATACTGGCTCTCTAAGCATCCAGATACTCTTCCAGTGCCATACATACATATCACACGTTGATATTTAACAAACAATCCGTGCAACGTCGCGCTTAGATTTTGTTAGACATCAGGCAATAAACATACTCAGTCAATAATCATTATTTACAACCGTGTCAAGGAGTATAACTATGTGTTTATGAAACGCATGCGCCTAATATCTGCATACTTCCAGGATATTTATACACTGTACATTAGATAGTCACCGTTGGTACATAGCACAATTTCATTAACCGTAATCTATTAGATCCACAGATGGTCTGTAAAAATACCTGTACCACTACTAACTATAGGCTATATTACAGGGTATTAAATTTTACCTCATGGAATAATTATACATAAAAAGAACTCAACAATGTGTTTGATTACTACTCTAACCCCTATACTCATTAAATGCAACAAAATTAAAATTATCGAATGAATATTTGCGGAAAGTGACTGCTAAAATTCGATGAATAACGAAATATTCTAATTATCATCGGGAAATCGATTCAACTTCATAGTTTACTTCTGCGGTGATTTGGTTTACGCTAAGAAAGTTCTGGTGTTAATGGTTAGGGTGCTTAAGCAGGGTACATTTGAAAATTAGAACACATACATTCTCTCGAAATCATAGACATACACCACACTGATGTGTTGACAAGCGTGGACCATAAATGACTTTCATATCTGCCAAGAAATATATGGTTATTATGTTGAAACTCTTATAATCTCTAGCACTAACCACTTAACGATTTTATTCTTATTTAGACTACAAGGGTCAGTCAGATAGAAAGAATTAATCCAATTCATCATTTTATTATACCATCATCATCTACACTCGGGTTTGCAAATGTTTAAATTTATTGAGCCTTTCTGTTAACTTATTCAAATCTCATTTGTGTCGGCAACAATTGCACTATTATTATTCCCAGGCTTGTATAATTATAACTCCACCTGTAGCTTTTCTAGAGTTACTGCCGGTCCCAACCCCTGGTAAAGGAGGAGAGTTTGGCATGGGATTAGCAACCCCATCCCGTAGAAAACTAACTCGTTAAAACGCTAACCAGAAAAAAATAATTCAAGCCATTTAAACTCTGCCCTGGGAGTTAGAAGGTCTTCATTTAGAAGAAATATGACGCCTCATGAGGAAAGCCGAGTTCCTTCGGAAGTTACGAGGCCGATGCTCCTTCTAACAACCAGAGCAACAATTCTTATAGGTACATGGAACGTCTGTAAAATGTGGGAGACCGGGAAGACCAGTAAAATAGCAACGGAAATGAAGAGATACAACTTGGCAGTACTGGGAGTCAGCGAAAACCATTGGACCCAAGCTGAACAGCAAAGGCTAGATACGGGAGAGATGCTGCTGTACACTGGTCACGAACAGGAAAATGCTCCATACACTCAGGGAGTTGCTCTAATGCTGTCCAAAGTAGCACGAATAATGCACGACGTGGAATTCTCTGGGACGACATTCGTAGAACATGTCCAAGCCACCAAAGTCGGTGTTTCAAGATAGTGATACCAATTGGATTGTCTTCTCTGTGCCCGAACACACGATGCCGAACCTCTGCATTACTAACATGGTGTTGCCACTGGATGTCAGCAATCCTTCGGAGACAGCGATGATCGAACACAAAGAGTCGTCTAACATCCTCAGCTCAGAGAGGCCAGGTTTCACAAGCATAGAGCAAAACTACTCTCACCGACGCGTTGTAGATCCGACCTTTAGACAGCCAGATCAACATCACGAAGGCGCCAAAGATGGTCCAGATTGGCATAAGCCGCTCTGGCTTTCACTATACGTGCATTGATCTCATCACTCACGCCACCACTAGCACTTATGCAGCTACCTAGATACACGAACTTCTCGACTACTTCTATCTGCTCACCATCCAGAGTGAGTACAAGATTAGAATCCTGCCAGTCTTGTAGAAGTACTTTACACTCCGAAGGTGAAAAGCACATACCATACCTACGGACACTGATTGCCAACTGATTAAGTGAGGATTGCATGCCTTGGGCATTCTCGCACAGTAAGACAGTATCATCCGCATACTCAAGGTCGAGAAGTTTTTCTCCAGACAACAGATCTACACCACCATTACTTACATCCATCAGAGCTGTTTCCAGAATGTCATCGATGGCAAAGTTGAAGAGGAAATGGTGAGATTGGGCAACCCTGTCTAACCCCACTGCTGGAATAGAATAATGGAAAAAGGTGGTTGTAAGCCCTCACTCTGCCTGAGGTGTTTGTATATAGGGCCTTTAGGTTGTTAATAAACTTCTCAGGCACACCCTTCTTCAATAGACAATCCCAGAGAACAATCTTGTCCAACGAATCGAAGGCAGCCCTAATGTCAAGAAACACTACGATTGTTGGTCTTTGATAAATATGATAGTGTTCTAACATTTGGCGGAGGGTGAAGATGTGATCAATACATCCTCGACCACAACGAAAACCAGCCTGCTCCTCGCGAGTCAATCCTTCTCGGGTTTTGAACAACCTGCGAAGTATGACGGAAGCCAATAGCTTGGACGCAATCGGAAGTAGACTTGTCGCCCGATAATTGTTACAGGAACGACGTGAACCCTTTTTAAAGATAGAGACAACTATCGACTCATTCCATGACGTTGGTACACTCTCTAGTTCCCAGAACTTTGTAAACAACGTCATCAGCTCCTTAGCTAGAAAGTCACCACCATCTTTGAAAAGAGCCGGAGGTAAGTCGTCTGGGCCCGGTGATTTGTAACGTTTCAAGAGTTGGAGTTCCTTGCGGAATCCCGCCTCATTTGGTGGATCAGTCGTCACCGGCCATGGAGGGCAGGACAGTCTGACCGACGTTGCCGGAGCAGCAGGCCAGTTGAACTGCCCATCGTCCAAGACGTCGATGGATGTTAGTGATTGGCGCTCCGTCATTCTCGCAGATTGTTTCGCTCACACCAGACTTCTTGCTGCCAGTGGCTCGGGTGAGTTGGAAGAGCTTCCGGTAATTACCAGAAGCAGCTGCTGCTTCCAGCTCATTAGCACGCTCCGACCACCAGGCTTCTCGGTCCTTATGCAAGCTTTGCCCAATTTCACTACGTAACATCCTTCGTTTGTGGTCAAACTCACGGTCACCCGGAGTAGACCAACGGGCTTCAATCAGTTGTAAGAAACCAGAAGAAACCCAGTGCTTGTAAGCGGGACGTTTCGCAAACCCACAATTGACTTTACCCGCCATTTTCATGGCGTCATGCCATTGCAACCAACGCTCATCTATACTTTTCGGTGGAATGGTAGCTAGCCTAGAAGCTAGCTCGGTTCGATACTTACTAGCAACAGAAGTTGCAACCAACTTGCTAACATCAATCCTTTGGTGGCGGTCACTTCGTTGTCCACTGAAAAGTAAGGTAAGATTGGCGCAGACTAGGGCATGATCAGATTCCAGATAGGTACTCCAAAAGGAGCAGCAGTCTTGTACACAACCACGCCAGCGGTAGCTGATCGCGATGTGATCAATCTGAGTCCAGGCTTGAGATGCAGAAGGAGGACGCCAGGTGGCACATCGGCGATGACTGTGCCGAAAGTTAGTGCTAGTGAGAAACAGGTTGTGGTCTGTGCACAGTTGTAGTAGACGGTCCTCGTTATCTATCCTGCGACCAACAAGTCCCCATCGGCCACCTAAACGACTCTCTTCTGTGCCTAGACGCCCGATCTGAGCATTCAAGTCTCCGGCTAGTACTACGATATCTGTCGAACGCACTTTCTGAAGAAGAACAATTAACTGGTGGTAGAATTCATCCTTGATTGCATCCGGGCTGCAATCTGTCGGGGCATAGGCAGAGATAACGAAAAGACATCGTTTCTCACGCCAATTTCTTCTCACTTTGATGGTGCACATGGGCTACAGTATCCTGAGGGAATAAATGGCGTATGAACAAATCATTGGTCACCGACTACCATGGGACTGCATCTCCTCACGATGCTCCACTGCCTAGTGGATTAGACGTTCAGGTCAAAGGCTCGGGGTGTGGCCCCCTAAGAAAACCACCTGCTTCGGTTTGGGCATCCGGGCAGTATCACAGCCCTCACACATCAAATGAGATCTGTGTGGCGCATATGTATTTGGTGCCTCCTTGTACCAATATCCATGCGTTAAAATAAATAATTAAATAAATAATAATACACTTTGATGGAACTTTTTAATCTAACAGCACATAACTGACTGTTAATGGGGATCCAATCGATTAGTACTACCTCAGCTCTAGCGATTAGTGCGACACCAACGCCAGCGAGACCAGACGGAGATGCCACAGGGTCCCCGGATAAACGCACGTAAAACAAGCTTTTTGAAGCGACAGATGGAGAGCGAATTTGTAGTACTTCACCAGAGCCTCGAATACGGGTCTCGGATAGACAACCAACGTCAATATTAAGACTTTCCAAAAACATAGCCAGCCCTATCTGTTGTCCGACCTGCATAAGTGTGCGAACGTTGAAAGCAGCCAGTTTGAATGGTGTACGTGGTTTCAGAAAAACTGCTTCAGTATTCGTATTCGGTGGTAGCATACAATTTTCAACCAGGTAGTGACTCGAGAACGTTTAGATAAAACCGAATTTCCACCGTAGGCGAGCTGCTGTATAAGTCGAAAAATAAGGATACATAGTGGGAGTAAAAGAGAGTGAATAAATGACGTGGTAAATAACAATAATAATACTAATACTAATTATAATAATGTGAATTGTTCGATTGTTAATTGGAGCAAGAAAGTATCTTCCATAAATATCAACATTTCATCATGTTTGTGTGTGAGGCTGTGAAACTGCCCGGGTGCCCAAACCGAAGCAGGTGGTTTCCATAGGCGACCACACTCGGAGCCTTCGACCGAAAGGTCTGATCCACAAGGCAGTGGAGCATCGTGAGGAGATGCAGTCCCATGGTAGCCGGTGACCAAAAAATGGTTCATACGCCATTTATTCCCTCAGGATACTGGAGTCCGTGTGCGCCATTGGTTTGGGATCTGGTTAAAGCTCCGGACATTCGCTTTTCGTCCTCTCATTTTCGTAAACAACACCCTCGCCACGAGAAGACAGTGAGTAGGACTTCCTTGGCAGAGGCTGTATACGCGTGGCCATGTGAGAGTATTTCGAGAGGGATGTCGAGCTCACCTCGCTCTCGGCCATACCAAGGCCTTTAGGGGCGAAAATAAGTTGTAGTTATCGCTCGGCATTGCTTCTGAAATGTAAGCACTGTTGGGAAATTATCATAATGACTGTTATCAGGACGAGTGATATACGAAGTATAGGAATCATCTCGAAGATACTCTACTACAATATATCTTAACAATAGCGTCATAGACACCATAAACTGTAAATACGAAACTATTAATTAAAAGAATAAATAAGGTAATGAAAAGACTACATATTTGCAAAATAATGACTTGCCTCCTTAGGACTAACGAGTGAAAGAGGTCGGTTTTCGTCTACATTGCTAAATGATGGGAGATCACTCTTATCTGTTAGTTCGTAGAGTTGTTCACATGCTTCACACTCCATGAAACGTGATATATCTGTAAAAGTGTATATAATTAATTATGAAGTTAGTGAAATCACTTATAATTGTTTACGAAATTGGTTACTTATGATGCATAACGAGTACCCATAGTAAATAATTAGGGAGATTAAATGTAACTTAGTGAAACTCAGTAACTACATACCAACTTATGTAACTGAGCCTCAAGCCATATTTTCTTTGGTGTCTAGTGATACTATCCGATCCCGCAAACTTGCTTATTTTTACTCTTTTATAAATACTGAATGGACCGCTTACATTGGAATAAATGAACTACAAATTTCTTTAAATATACTGATAAAATACTTTAGTAAATCAATATTCTAATCATTATACGCCTTGGCAAACCTTACCCTTTAGGTGCCAGTAAACGATTTCAGACGACCGGTAATTTATATTTATATTTAAATTTTATGCTTCTTGGTACACCAATAGATTACATTCTCAAACACATGATAAGAGGTATGTCTATCATGAGACTGGAATTCACACAGCGCATATGTTATAAACGTTACTGCTGCGTTATATTGCAATTAAGGATTAAACTGAAGCAAATAATAGAAAAAAGGACGAAAACAAACGGTGCTTATATGTTCTCAGAGGATGATGAAGAGATTAGAATTTAGAGTATTATGATAAAACATAACTCTATGATGTATCTTAAACAGTTGTACGTGAATGATTTGGGTCGTCACTGATTCTTTAGAATTGTTTCACAGTATATACAAGTTTACAACCAGATAGGAATTCCTGTAAGCCTTTTTGTCTTAAATCGGTTAGTGATAATCAGCACAGGACCTGGTACGGATGCTCATTACATCGGAACGAAGAGAGGAAATGAACAGATGAATATCAAAGAAATTTAAATAATGGTAGAACCAAAGATACTAAACAAAAAATGAGCATAAATAATATGGTTTGGGAAGACTCTCATACAAACTATTTTGCATTATTCAACTTTCACTAAGTGATTCAACAGCTGAATAAGGAATATTTGATGCGAATTGTAAAAAGCAGCTGCCAAAAAAAACTGTTGAGCACGGTTTTAGTTACCTTGTTGCTAGTGACTGATATGTGAGTTAATATAGTTCAGTACGGCTTTTTCCTCGTCCTTGTAGATTAACGTAATCATTTCCTACTACTACTTGGCATTCACATTGCTTAGCCAATATGATATAATTTAGACTACAAATGCGTTTTACGTTCCACATTACTTATGAATGGCATTGTTTCTATATTTTATTTTATTTTTAGTGATTAAAAGGTGTAACAACTTTAATCGATGTTATTGGGAAATGTCCTCGATTCGATTACCTTTCTATTATGCTACACTTCAATGGTTACCACCAATATTTCGCCCTTCAATCCACTTGCAAAATACAATTTTGTATTCTCGTACTAGTAAGTGGTGATCAAAGTAAAAGTAGTTGCAATTAAAACATAACTATGGTGAGAAAGCATTCTGAAGCCTTCTTAAGTGAAAATAAATAGATTTGAATAACCAATTTGAAAACATAAGTTTAAGTAAATCATAGACATTAAACAATTACATGATGCTTTTGGATCAAGAGATTTTAAAGGACCACCACATTTGTTACACCTTATGAAAGAGCCAGTGCCATTTCCAGAGCCTCCTCCTCCAGCACCACCAAGACGTTCCTTAGAACCGATACTATGATGGTTCACATTAGCAGAGTTGAAGGAACCATTCCCTTCTAGAGGTCCCCCTGGGTTTTGACTTTTACCTAGTAGATATAAAGACAAGAACGAACAACTAGAGACAAAAACGAAACATAATGGTTTTCTTAAACAAAATATGTGTTATGTATGGATTCACTTAGTTTAGCTCTGTTTGCTCGAAGTCATAGCTAATCATCTGTTACTGAGTTATTTTGTTAATTCACAAGTCATCACTTACCATATAACTATGTCTAAGAACTAAACAATCAATTCTGGTCATTTCGCTTGACCATAAACCTTCTTTAAAGTCATACATGCAATCAGAAAAGTTGGCTCAAAAGGAATAAGAATGAAAAACTTATGCACATGAGAAGCTATTGTTATTTCTCGTTTTAAGCCTAGCTTTTGCGTAAAAAAGTATGTTCAACTCCTCATTCTCTCATGGTTTTAACCTTCCTCTCTACTATAATCTATCATTTACCATCTTCACTTTATTATTTCCACTCCTTCCAACTACTTTCAAAACTAATAACCAACAATTATTATGACTTAATTATCCCATTCCTTATGGCTATCAAGTGGACAATTATCTCGACCTTAGCACTTTTTCACTAGCCGAATATTATATTACATCTCAATATCTGATTTCCGTAAATGATTTATGACAAGATACAACTACGGGTTATTTAAATATTCAACACTTCTATTCTACAATAGACTACTATTTCGGCAAATAAGGTCAACTTGTAGTGTCTGTCATTATGTTAAGCCCATATACCTTATTCTACGAACGGACCACTAAAGTGGAGAGCCCTTCGACAACATCGTCCGATCTAAATGACGACAAAATAAATGGCCCCACAAAACGTGGTGAGCCCGCCGACGACGAACCTAACGCAACGCAGCGATAACAGCCACCACAAAAATGGTGAGCCGACAACGACGAACGTAACTCAGCAAGATACGTCGATGAAGAAACTTCTGCACTTGATACTTTCGACGAACAAATTCAGCGAAGCCAGCACAATCTCTAATTCGACGCACTCAGCAAGGCCTGTGCAGCACGACATGGACATGCACAAATCGTATTATCTTATCGATACTCTGTCCTCATGTCAACATTTCTCATTGATCCATTTGTTGGAATGTTCGATTATGATTCAAATTATCATCATATGCTTATTATAACATTATCATATTATGAACGAATGTGGAATTATTATTTTTGTTCGTGTTGACAATAAATTATGACATTTACGCAGTCATATCACTCACCGAACAAATTATCATTTTATGAACATTCCACTCCACGTTATGACATTCGAAACTCACTGGATTATATTTTTATTATTCAACAACGTAAAATCACCTACTTTAAGTGAGTTCGTTCCAATTTTTCCATGTCATTTATGGTCTATTATCACATTCATTCACTTAGTCGAGGTCATATTCTATGTTATCATAACATACATTTTTCATTTCGAAATCGCCTCCTATTATGTCTGTGGATGCCTCTAAATGTACTAGCTCATTATTAACGATTACGTTCATCTTATATATTCGTCCACATGTATAACCACATGCCGCATCATTCATTACCCCGAAACATTATTCGATAACTGCAATTACTATTCTATTCCCACCGCATTGTATACCAGAACATAGAGTTTAGAGCTGGTCTCTCAAAGATACACTCTTGTTCGTCTCATCCAAGTCAGTTTCGTACGCCGCCATCGCTAATCATATGTATTGGTACGGTGTTGTAACAAACGAGGTCGAGCGCATCTCCCTCAAACCACACAAACCAATCGAGGCTTCACGACCAAAAAGGAATACGACTCTACATACCTCGTCTACTCAATCACTATTCTATTCCTCTGGTCATTCTACTAATACATATTTAACGATAACTCAATGCATCTGTTATAACGCAAACGACAACGTACACTGACTTCGCATTTAATGATTATTATCAATTGCAGTACAGTAACGAATATCACCAGTCGATGCAATTATCATTTCACGACTTGGCTATTCTTATCCTACGATCGGGAACTCTACGTATTTCAATACAAATCCACTCATCGCTACTCGACGCTACATACTCTACTGCGGCTCATCAGAACACTCATATTTCATTATTCTGTCAGCATCACAGACCGATTTCTGTCATATTCTACTCTATTTATTTTCACGATTTATTTCGCTGTCATACCCACAAACAATTTCTTACTGTTTTCACGATATTTTAAATCGCTCACACAAACCTATTATTTCATCGTTCAGACAGTTACAACATTAGTGCATGTTAAATTTTTGTACGCTTATTAATTTGCTTATAATTGCATGCTAGCATTTCCATTTTTGTCCGCGCCTTTAAGGTATTCATATATTCTTTTACATAAGTATGACACTATCGTATAATACCCTCACCCCTCATGTGACACACTACTTCATTGTTTGTAGTACAGTTTTATTCGCTACTTAATGTTAACGTTAACCACACACATCACTTCAGTGTTGTTTTCGAAAACAGACATTTTTTCAAATGTGCTATTTTCTACAAGGGGCCATGTAGTGTCTGTCATTATGTTAAGACCATATACCTTATTCTAACTTTCGGACATCTCAATCTATTCATTCTACTTTGGTGATATTTTAACCTTGTTGATTATTCGCTCATCAATCTTGACTGTCTTTGTATGAGCGCGTAGGCGTATGTACACTTCTTATCCCGTTACTCATCATATGTCTGTAATTTATTTTTGTGTGCTTATAAATATTGATTAACGCTTGGTTAAATGGGAGTTGGATTACAATTCATCTCCACCGCGCGTCAATTTTGCTTCGCTTTTTCCTTTTCGCATAGTTCCCCCGTTTGTTTGTCCAATCAACGATTATACAAAATATATGTATTCAAAAGCCCATTCTCGTTATTTGACTTATTTAATTCCGTTATTGACGAACGCGATTTAAGTCAATGGTTATATACGAGGATAGGCGATAGCAATCATTCATACGATCTATTTGGAGTCAGATCACGGCCCCACTAAAAACTAAGTACTATTGTCTGGTTTAGGTGAACAAAAATTGTTGGAACGAAAATATTTGCAGGACCGTATTTTTCCTTTAAAGACACAATGAGTTGCTTTTATTATTTCAATAATAAGATGGTGAAATGTCGCTCTTACCGATATTTGATTCTGTTACTATTATAACCACGACCTATAGCCGCATAGCGAATGTATTAACTTATTACACCGATTGGTGGAAAGGTTATAATTGAACATAAATAATGCAACTATGTGTGTCTCCAGGAAATGGGGAATTAATCGTGAGGACTGGATGAAAACATTAGTCACTGACTCTAACGTGTCGACGACACAATTACAATGCATCCCTTTTTGATGAATGATAACAAGTAAGTATCAATCGCTATCTTAATGCTACAAGTAATCTTCGAATACCAGGGATTCAAGAAAGAATTACAAAGAACGACGGACGTTTAAATTCCGGGTATAGAAATAGGAGAAAAATGGCTTCCATAGAAAAATTTAATACATAAGCATTTAGTCAAAAGGAACCTTCCCAAGTGAAACTAATATGTTCATTTGAAACTGAGGGTTCATTAGAGCAGCTAATGGTCTATTAACAAGAACACTTGAGTATTCAGTCAGCTGCAACGTAGGACCAGGCACATATATGCATCAGTCCAAGTTGCCACACCTCATTAGCGCAACAAGATGAGCACCAAATTCATGAAAGTATTTGAAAGTTAAGTCACGCAAATTAATTAACAACAGCCAGAGTGTAGTTTTAAATGAATAAGAATATGTAAACCAGTACCATGAGAATTTAGGTCACACGGGGAGAGTGGTAAATGTCAATGTAATGCATAGCAAAATCAGAAATTTTGACAAGTATGACATATTTGGGACCAATAACTTGCGAAACTCTAAAGATTTCAAACAACTTGTACGTTTATGCAGTATTTACAGTAGCTTAAAAGCAAGAGCTAACTAGGCGAGACTACAATTTTTGAACGGACTAATTGGATATAAGATAACGACTCACCGATTCGGGCGCGAAATTCATTCATGCATTTGGATAAATCGAGTTTTGGCATTACAGCTTGTCAGTTCGTGGTGAAAACCCTAAATCTAATTTTTAACCCTGATCATCACCTGTAAATGAGAATTCTAACTGCTATATGACCCTCATTTAGTCATAATTAGTAGTTGTCCACTCTCAGGGTCACTTCAGCGTCGCTCAAAGGTTGTTCATAAATTATAGTCTCGCCGCTAATTATTGCAACCTTTCATAGGATTATTTCAACCCTTTTTCGTAGTATGCAAGTCAATTTTACTTGTTTATTTATGAGACGCATACGCATGCATTAAGAATCATATGAAAACACCTTGATCAAAATGCCAGTCTCACAAATGTACTTCGGAATTTCGAAAATTTAAAAAGGTGGGGGTAAGGTCAAAATCAGCCACAAACACTACAATTTGTTGGCAAAGACTCATTTCTCTTTATAAACGTGGGATCAAAACGACAAGATCAGGACGCATGAATCACACAGCATTCGAATTTGTTTCATATTACCGGGAAATAAGGCTTATCATTGAACATTTAGGCAAAAACTATTACGGTATATACTGCATGAACAAAATGTGATCTAAAATACTCACTACTTTTGCGGCATTCGGTCGTTTTGCAATGCCCCGAAATAATGCAATCTTCGTGAACATCAACCTCTGAAACCCGTGAGAGTGTTAGATTTTCGTACGTATTCCACGAATTATTTCCATAGCGGGAAACAACTAATTACTCTATAAAGCAGTAAAACATACTTAACAATGCACGTCCGTGTGTCTTCCAGCTTTTAAAAGCACAAGAAAATGCAGAGGAAGCGAAATTACTCATATTTAGGAAAACTCCAGAACCAAATATACAAAACAGATTTCAACGCCACATTTGAAATCTGCGCACAGATCCAATGGTTCAAATGGTTCCATTGGTTGTGAACGGAATAGAAGAAGCTTTCCCTTAACGGGTTTTCGTGTTTAGTGGCAGTGGATCACCAATACTTCCAGGTGGGAACCTAGGTATATCAACGATAATAGAGGAAAAAGATATTGGTTAATCATAATAAGATATTATCCTTAGTCTGTAAGACAATGTCAAGTTGCCTCTTAAAGGACACCTAGGAAGTCTCGAATTTCAGCATTCGACGACTCTTAAGGAATGGAAGTTGTGTCTGCAGTCCGTTCTGATGTGTTGTTTTTCTAGTTTCTGGGTGTTACCCCTTAGTTTTGTGTTGGAGCTTGTAGTGGTAAATAAATCCCCAAAATGAATAGCTCTGTAAGTCTTCGTTATTGGATGCTGACCACATTATTTTTAGTAGACTCGCCTAGCTGAAGGCGCTCTGTCATGCATGCGCACCAGATCACGAGTGGGTACGCCGTGCTCAACATCTACCACAATCGCTAGCCAGATTAGATCAGACGATCCTCGGTATTGAAGATGCTACAGGTAGTCGGAGTTTGACAACGCTTTAACCAATAACACCTTCCAATATGATACGTACCCACCAGGTGAAATCAAAAGACAAAAGCGAAGAGGAGTGTCGTGCGATTGTACTGAAGGAAAATCGACGTGAATAGGACTTCCTTCTAAATACGCTGCTTTGAGGCGATCGACACTGATGCTATCCTTGGTTCCGTTCTTATCGATTATATAGTACTTAAATTCGCGTTGAAGAACTTTGAAAGGTCCTTCGTATGCTAATTCGAGAGGTCGTCGATGTGAGTCTCGACGTATGAAGACGTATGTACTGTATCGTAAGTCAGGTTGAACGAAAACGTCAGTTGATTGCAGTCGTGTGGAAACAGGTTTAACTGAACGCATTGCGTTTGTAAGCCTGTTCGTGTAGGAGGTTAGATCCATGTTCACTGAAGAGGATGAAGAATCCGCGAACTCTCCTGGAAGTCGAAGGGTCGTGTCATAAACGAGTTGAGACGCAGTGTATCCAATGTCAGCTTTCACTGCATTGCGAATACCTAGTAAGACGAGTGGAAGAGCGTCAGTCCACTGAGAAATGTTTGAGGCTGATAGTGACGCTTTTAGTTGTTGGTGAAAATGTTCTACTAACCCGTTTGTTTGTGGGTGGTAGGCCGTCGTTCGGAAGCAAGTGATTCCTAATAATGCGGTCAGACAACGGAAAAGTTTGGATTCGAACTGGCGTCCGCGATCTGTAGTGATGGTTGTTGGGCAGGCGAAATTTGCTACCCATCTTTCTACGAAGGCGCGGGCAACTGTTTCAGCAGTAATATCTTTGATGGGTACTGCTTCTGGCTACCGAGTAAAACGGTCTACGCAGGTTAAAAGATAAGAATATCCATTTGAATCTGGTAAAGATCCTACCAAATCGAAATGAACATGGTCGAAGCGAGCATCGGGGGTTTTAAACGAGCCTAAGGGACATTTGTTATGTCTAATCACCTTAGATTTCTGGCAGCTTACACAGGAGCGTGCCCACTCCCTCACGTCTTTATTCATACCAGGCCAGCGAAACCGTTCTGCTATAAGCTTGATGGTTGCACGAACACCTGGATGAGAAAGCTTGTGCAACGTATTGAAGACGTTGCGTCGATAATGTTTCGGCACGATTGGACGATCCCTACCTGTATATGTGTCACACAGTGAGGTTTCCTTACCCGTTCCCATCTGTTTGATGCGCAGTTTAGGGGTTGTTGACGATAACTCGTGTTGAAGATCAGTGTCTTCTTTTTGAAGCTGGGCGAGTTTCAGAAGGTCGATTTCTTGGAAACTTTTCAAGGAAGCTATTCGAGATAAGGCGTCTGCGACTACATTGTTTGCTCCAGAAATGTGTCGAATATCTGAAGTAAACTGCGAAATGTAGTCCAGTTGTCGAGACTCACGAGGTGAGTACTTGTCTGAAGAGCTTAAAGAGAAGGTAAGAGTTTTACGGTCAGTAAAAAGGGTGAGTTCCCGGCCTTCGACAAAGTGTTGAAAATGCCGTACAACACAATACATAGCTAGTAGTTCTCTAGCGAATGTGCTTCAGCTCGATTCAGTGACTAGCAACCGTCTAGAGAAAAATGCCAAAGGTTGCGAGGACTGGTTAACATGTAGAATTACGGTCTACTATGATATTAGCACTGCTCTAATAATAGACCTAATCCTAAAATTGTAGATTTATCATGATGTAACTGCCTAATCTATAAGGTCTTACGTTGAAGTTACATCATCGTCTACACCAACTCATTGCATTGTAACAATTACCAATACGTGATAGAGAACAAGCTTAGGCTAGAGATAGATTATATTTAATCTGAATAAAAGATACAAGATAACATTCAGCTGGGACCACTCCTGCAAGGCCGAGCGATGCCATCCGATCAACTCGGACTAATTCAATTTCTTATTCCCGCCTTCTCTATTGTTGGGTATTTCTCCGCGTTAAATATTGAATATCTATTTTCCGAGTAGTCTCGTGTTCAGCTTTGAGGATTGTGTGGTTATGATCCCATGCCACTACAAACACATTGTTGTACAACTCTTCTGATTGCTGAGTCGGATGAGTCTACTGCGATACTATTAGGTGCTTCAGTGTCCTGATGAGCAAGCATTGTTGTTTGAGCGATAAATTCCTTAACCGTGGAGAATGCTTTTCGCGCAGTGTTATCCAGATTGATGAATTTCGCATTTCCACGAAGTCGGTCGGTAAGAGGTTTCATAGGGGACGCGCATTTCAGTATGAACCGCCTATAGAAACTTTCCAGGCCGTAAAACGTGCGTAATGGCTTGATGGTGGTCGGTTCTGGGTAATCCAGAATGATCGCCACTTTGGTTCTAAGGGGTTAAATGCCTTGCGCATCGATAGTGTGTCCTACGAAGTTCAAGGAGTCATTTCCAATTTGGCATTTCTGAATGTTTTCAGTAATGTCATGTTTTTGTAGTCGGTCGAAGACAAGGTCCAGACGATGGAGATGCGATTTTCTATCCGGACTTGTTGTTAGGCAGTCATCAACATACGCATGTACAAAGTCGATACCTCAAAAAACGTCGTCTCTTAACCTTTGGAAAGTTTGTGCAGCGTTTCTTGGACCGAAAGGCATTCACAAAAATTCGTAGAGTTGGAAGGGCGTTATAATAGCTGTTTTCGGAATATTGTCAGTAGCCATAGAGATTTGGTTATACGCTTTAACCAAGTCGATTTTCGAAAAGACAGCTGTACCTTACAAGATAGCTGTCAAATCGTGAATGTGAGGCAACGGGTAACGATCGGGAATGGTTTTTGCATTCAGTCGCCGACAGTCACCAGTTGGACGCCAATCGTTGCTGTCCTTTTTAGGGACCATGTGCAATGGAGATGCCCATGGGCTATTTGACGGTCGTATGACACCTAAGTCTATCGTGTGGTCAAATTCGTTTTTCTCCAACCTTAACTTTTCGGGGGCCAGTCGGCGTGCTTTCGAGAAGACAGGTGGTCCTGTAGTCGTGATGTGATGTGCAACATTGCTGGTTACATACGGCAATTTCGGTTGCGATTGGTAAATGCCAGAATATTTATCGAGTAGTGGTTGGTAGAAGGGGTCTATAGTGTGCTTAATAGTGACTGGAGATAATCTGCAACCAGAAAAAGAAGTCGCACAAACAGACAAATTAGTGTTTCCGTCTACTAGCCTCCGTTTGCGCGTATCGGTGATTAAATCGTGATGCTGTAAGAGGTCCATACCAATGATTGGCATAGAAACATCTGCAACAACAAAGATCCAGTGAATGTGTTCGCGTAAACACACGTTAAGATAAACATACCTTTTACCATTCGTAGCGATAGGCTTCTTCGAGGGATGTGTGAACATTTACGGTCGTTAAGAAGTTTGGGATAACGCGTAAGTGTATTACATAACTCTGTTATGTCATCCTGGGTGGTTTGAGGCCTTTGTTTGACTGAAAAACCCTCGGCGTTAGAAGATCTAGTGATTTCGAGGATGCGGTCGGCAGATGCAGCCAGCTCGTCTACGGCGTTGTTTTGGAACGAGACCAGCACAGCTTGCACCTGTTGAGGAAGTTTTGATAAGAAAAGCTGTTTGAATAGGCCATCATCGAAGGTTCTTTTGCCAATAACTTTTCTCATTCTTTGCAACAATTCTGTGGCAGAACCATGTTGCAGGTCGACGTCATTAAGGAGTTGATCTAATCTTTGTCGATCCGTTGGATCTTCGCGTTTAAGGATAGATCGCTTGAGTGTTTCGTAGGGTTCTGAAACATCACTAGTCAACATACTAAGTGTTACGTGCCTGTTGAACTCACGCGGTAGTGTTTTGACTACTGCGAAGAATTGTGCACGTGTGTCGTTCACGCCGTGCTCGTTGAAGTCGGCTTCTGCGAAGCAGAACCAGGCTTCGATAGTGTCTGGCCAGAAGGGTGTTAGTTGGAAAGAAGGTGGGGACATAATCTTTAACTTAAGTGCCTTGGTTGTCTGTTCAGTCATGGTGAAATATCAAGTACGAGGATGGACGAGTGGGAAATTTATATATACAAAAACACGGAAAAAAATACCACAGTGTATAAAAAATGAAAATAAGGCAATGATATGTAAAATCCCAAAAAGGAACAGACTCAGAGTTTGCAATTTGGTGTACCAGATCACGTTAGGCTCACCATTGAAGATGCCAGAGGTATTCGGAGTCCGGCAACGCTTTAACCAGTAACACCTAGTATGAATCGTACCTACCAAATGAAGTCAAAATACAGATGCGAGGAGGTTCGAAAATATATTTGATAGGCTATTTATTTTATGGACTTATTTACCGCTACAATATATTGATAGCCTATCAAATATATCTTCGAACCTCTTCGCCTCTGTCTTTCGATTTTACTTGGTGGGTACGATTCATATTAGATGTTACCGGTTAAAGTGTTGTCAAACTCCGACTACTTCTGGCATCTTCATTAGTGAGCTCGACGTGATACTAACAAGCA